TCCCATCAGCATCAATCACAGCGTGAACAACAGGCGAACCCACGCGTCAGACGCCCCGTATAGCCTAACGCCAAGAGGGTCTCCGGAGGCATCAGAGATCTTCCAAGCCCGGTGTCCAGGATGAAGTTGGCGACAATAGACCTTCGCGGCGCAGGGAATGTGATTTTCTGGTCGAGGGAGACAACAAACCGGAACGCCATCAGGCCGGCGAGCGCACCGTGGGTGATACGCAGCCCGGCGCATGGGATGGTCGATATCTCGGTGGAAGGTATGAGGAAGTCTTTGCCCAACTGGCGCTCGAGCTCAACACGCGTCGTGGACGGGATGACGCCGGCGTGTAGTGTATGGCGCCTAGTAATCGTACGTTTCCGCGTGGGAGAAGCGCTTTGTATACTGGGCGTGTAGATAACGGATGCTGATTCAGAGGGTGCGATAGTCGTGGTAAAGGATAGGGCGCTGCTAGCCTTCCGATGAGGAAGACCAGGAAGAGTCTTGTCGAGCTCAATCAGCGACTGAGTGTTCAGGCTCAGGCCCTTTTTGTGGAGGATTGGCTGGTCTAGGATGTCATCATACTCTTCGAGGAACTTCATCTTGCTGTCTGTAGGTCGAAAAAGTACACCTGGAGTCTGAAGTAGAGATGTAAGCCTGGGAAGATTGGTGAGGTACGGATGAAATCTCTCACAACTTTATACAGGTCATACTTCTTGTCCGGGTACGCTAGCGCTTCGTGCATCTTATGATGGGACGGCAGCACCTTTTTAAGAACAGCTTTCCCCAGACACGCGAGTCCATCAGACCGATGACCGAGTTCGAGCAACACGACACCCTTGTTGAACAGGATTTCGGCCGCGTACAGCTTGTACCGGAGGCCTTGCTCAGCGTAATCGCTGTATTCGACATGATGAGATCCAACGATGATGGCAGGGCGGATCAAACATACATTTCCCGATCACCTCTCATTCGGAGAGCGGCATCACTCAAGTCATCCAGGCCCTCTTGCTTCATGCCTAACGAGTAGTAACATAATCCTCGCTCAAAGTATCTGGATCCAATATCAGCAAAACGAGTCCATAAAAGTGAGGCTCTCCTACGCTACAGCCAGTGATGGATCCATAGCGATCGCCAGCGTCATCCAATGTAGCGCCTGCTCCAAATCGTCCCTTTCACGATGGATAAGCGCCACGTTCATGCAGGGTTTACCGGAATCTGCAATTTCCTGGCATCACCGGAGGTGAGGACACCACGACGTCTACAGCAGTCACGGACGCACTTCGAATAGAGCCAGCGCCTTGTCATAATTCTGCTGCTCATAGTTGCTCAGGGCGGTCTCCCAAGTGCGGAGCTGGACCTTGAAGGCGGCCAATGCCATATTCGACGTACAATCACAGGAAGGAGGAGGAGGAGGGAAAGGTCTGTCTTCAGGCGAGCGATTAAGCCGGCTCTGCTTAATATAGCTGGCGGTGATAGAAAGCCGTTCAGGCCGTTCAATTGATGTACAGCATCAGCGCACCACAAACTCTCCAAAAAATGCTGCTATGTGATGGCGACGTACGGTACGTTAAGCAGAACCCTTGAGTTTGAACGCATATAGAGAACAAGCCTTGAGTTTGAACGCAGATAGAGAACATTTATCTCGCGACTCGCCAAATTGAATTTAAATTCGAAGTGACGAAGAACTGACGTCAGTAACTCTCAGCTTTGTGGGTCCACACTCTCGCTTCAACACGCGGGATCGCGGCACTGCGACCTCAGATTGAAGTTGGGCAGGACCTATTCATTGAAGCCCTGTTCGTATACAGTTATCTGCTTCCAATCGTTCATCATGATATTACCGAACGAGAAAGAAGTGCCACCTTACGAAACTACACGTTGGAGTCGGCGAGGATGTGTCATACGATGAATGTCGAACAGCATGGACGGAATTAGGCCGTTAGTCGAAGATAGCCATCTACGACAGCCACGTGCAAGAACACAACAAGTGCATTCGTCGGCGAAACAAATTATGGACCGCCGTTTACTCTACAAGTTTGGTAGCGGGGGAGACTGGGGACTCAGCTCCGCTCTTATCGTACAAAGATTCCAAGCTTTCCAAGCCGAGGACATCCTGATGTCTCGCCTTGTAATCTTCCGACGCCCACAGCAAGTCAATCTCCTCGAGGGTCATTCCTTTGGTCTCCTTCACGACTGTGAAAAGATGAGCCATAACCTCAAACAAGATAAAGAAGTTACAAGACTCACAGAGATAGACAAGGAGAGTAACGAGTGAGCCACCTAACAAACAGTCAGATGCGATTCCTGAACAGCCGGATTGTGCCCATACCGAGAATGAAGAGGATGAAGAACTTGATCCCAACATCCTTGATGGCAATCGGTCCGCTGTACACAAACACAAAAGCCATGGTCCAGGTACCGACATTACCGATACCCCCAGCTTGACCTCGGTATCGAGTGGGCACAATCTCAATAGCGTAGAGGTATACCATCCAGACTGTCGACGAGGAAGGTAAGTCAACAATTGGTTGGATCCGTTCGACGGGAGAAACATACTCCAAGACAATCCGGAGCCAGCTTCGAACCAGAATAACATAGCAATCTGCGCCCAGCGAGTGGCATTTGTCGTGAGGTGAGCAGGGAGTGCTGTTGGCGTTATAAGAGTATAAAGTAGATATACGGTAGAACACTCACTGCCGAGGATGGTGAAGATTAAAATGGCGGAAGTCTGCACCAAGGCGCCGAAGAGTAGAATGTCTCTACGACCGAAGTGTCGAACAGTGAAGAAGCTGATGACTAGCCGAGACGTGTAACTTTGAGGTATGACCTAAAGTATACCCACTCACTGACGCCGAGAGTAACCACTGACAATTCGTATTAATGTCGTCGAGGAAGATGGAAGGCAATTCGACGCACTCGAGTTGAGAGCGGCAGTTACCACCGCAGTAATATCCGTCGAGAAATGTAAGGTGCCGATGATTGACTTGCCATCTAGTAGCGGACTCAATCAGCCGGCATGAGCTCCCAACAAGTCGCCGAACACTCACAGTAAGTCTAGCTTGCTAATGAGACCTAACGGGAGTAGTAAAGGAAAAGAAAGGGACACACAATAAGGTTACCGCCGTAGAATGGCCTCCCAACTTGGAGGATCCAGGAGATCCAGATGCGCCGGACGACCTTAGTCTATCAAGAAGATGAATGACTTGAACGGACTCGAAGCCATTCAAACCAACCTCTGTAGTATCCTTCTTGAAGAAAGCGGCCAGATTGATGCTAGCCGAATCTTCCGCCTCAAGTTGCAATGCCTTTATGAGCTCAGCCTTCTGCGCTTTGACCTCTGGATCGTCGAGAGTTTTGCCATTTAGGCGCTCCAACGAGGCGTCACCTTCTTCGATGCGCCCTTTTGCGTACAACCAGCGGGGACTTTCAAGAACACCTAGGTGGGATCAAAATGTGAATGTACATCACAGGGTGTGAAAGACCAAAGCAGACCATGAAATATCACAATTGGAACTAGAATGAAAACGGCTTGAGATGCTAAGAGAACTCTCCAACCGTTCTGGAATGCTGATACGAATCGTGTGAGGAAGACTACAAATCAAGAAGATGTGAACAATTCTTACGGCTCTGATAGACGCCAAATCCAATCCAGGCAACGATGGAGATGGCGGATACCGCTGTAGAAAAGTTCGATTCGAGCTATGCAGTCAATTCAAAGTACGAGACGTACCCAGGCCTATGTTCCACATGACTTTAGTTGTTCGGTCATCCTACAAAACCCACTGAGCCCGAGGAAAGAACCGATGATGAATATAACCCACGGCAGTACCTGAACTTCTCGCGACCGAGGCTTCGTGGACAAACACAGGCACAGCAGCGGAGATAGCACCGTTCCCCAAACCCTGGGGCAGCGTGAGATGCAAGTTTAGGACAAGTCTAAGGCCTACATACCAGAATGACACGGCCAATAATCATCATGGTCGAGTTGACCGCCGCCGTTTGGATGATGATACCCAGGAGGGCGGTCCAGCACTGAAGGAAGACAAGTATTCAATCATGAGTGTCGCCTGTCAACTTAACGGACGTACCGAGAGCAAAATCGACACGCGGCGACCAACCGTCCAAGAAAGTGGCGCGATGATAGCGCAGCCAAAGATGTCGCCTATAGTACGTGTCAAACGAGGACCAAAGAATGCAAAGAGGATAGCACACCTAGAATAATGCCACTGGAAATGAAGCTCGTTACATCGGTGGATGCCGCGTGAATCTGGTGATCAAACTGAGGCGTGTTCAAAATCCTTCGAAGGACGTAAGTCAATGCCAATGCTAATGTTGCCATGCTATAGATAGTACCCTCCCATAATACCAGCATCCCTATGGTCGCGTGCATCATCAGCACCTAAACACCGCCGTACAATGCAGACTTACCAGCCGTATAACGCGAGTGCAGACACCGACGCGAGTTGGAGCAGTCGGGTATACGACTTGCCTCTGCACGGCCAGAGCCAGAGCGTATTGGGTGCCATCTTTGAATGTGCGAGGCATGCTAGGGCGATCCAAGGTGGTATTTACGAGGTCCGATAGACGGAGCAGACGTAAGAGCTCTCGAGGTGCGGGCCATTCGGCCCGGGAAGTTGCTGGATGTGCCATCAACTGTCTTCGGCTAGCACGTATAATGAACTGGTCCCCAGCGTAGAGATAATGGCGCGCACCGATAACCTACAGCATATTCGCAGTGGTCTCGAAGATTTTTCTCGTCTTCTCCGTGTTGACACCGAGCTTATTGACTCATCTTGTGCCTGCCAAGCGCCGGGACAATGACAAGACCACCGCCAATGCCCTAGGGTATGGTTGTCTCGTCCTACAATGCCATGAGGACTTTGGCGCACCGTGCTCCCTCCAGGTACCCGTCAATTGATCTCAATTGAGAGAGTTACAGTCCTTGTTAATTTGACCGAGCCAAAGCAGAAGATGCGAGACGTAGTGTGGCGCATTTTTTAAAACTCATCGGCCGACTAGCTCAGCTGGTTAGAGCGTCGTGCTAATACAAATACATTGTTAACGCGAAGGTCTTGGGTTCGATCCCCACGTTGGCCATGAAAGTTGAGCTTTGTCTTTTGTGATGCGTTTTGCCTAGCGCAAGTGCCAAGAAGTCAATAAAAACAAATTTTGATTATTTACGGTGTGTCTAAATATAAAGGCTAAAATGCCCTTCCAGACGCCTTGCACCTCTACCAGTGTACTACCAGTCTCCGCAGGCTCGTTCTCCCTGCATTCCGGACGTGGCGCAAGTTCTTCCCGATCTGGCGCTGGCAAATTCCGAAGAAGGCCGATGAAGATTGGTTCTCCGCCTTCAGTCCGCTTCTTAGTCTCTTACAGTCTTCTTGTATCGTCTTTCTGGTATGTTTCCACCCTCACAAGTCTCACAAACTGATGATTTTGAAGGCTCAGTTAAAATGACTGCAGATGACACGATAATCCAACCCCGTATCGATGTTTCGCGAACGCTTCTGCCTCTGATAAACCCCTGCGATGCCTGCAAGCCTCTCACGCCTAGCAATCTCAACCTGTACGAATTCCTCGCCTCCAACTATGTCGAAACGCACGATGTCGCTCCATCAAAAATTGTTTCGACTCTCTCATCTGGTCTGCGCGACCCCCTCGTCTACCAGTGGTACTACGACGACCGACAGCGCCTGAGGACGCTGTCTCTACCCCGCTTCATTGCTGCTCTGCGCGACAAATTCCTTCTGCGATATTGGGCCGACGACATCGAGCAATCCATACTGACATCGCTACAGGGCTGGAACGAGCCCGTTGTGCAATGGACGTCGAGACTGCGGTCGCAGAATATCCTTCTGAAGGGAACGAAGAATCACCTGAGTGACGATAAACTGCTCATGCATGTGAAATCGCACCTGAACAAGGCGCTCGTCGATGTGTGCTCCCAGGACGAGGCGATGCAGATGGAAAACGATTTGGATGCTTGGTGTGACGCGATGCGCGCGCTGGAGGATGGAAAGATGACCGGAAAGAAAAGACCACTGGAAGATTTGGGACAGAGCAGCACAAAACGCGCCCGTCTGTCGATCGTGGGCGATCCCTACTTTCCACCGCGTGAATCCACTAGAGCTTCTACGCCAGCCGAGCACCCATCTCCTCATCGTCGCTCCCATTCTCCTGCCCACGTCGAATCTCAACTTCCCCGAAAACCCCATTTTCCTGTTGGACGCGGTGATCACTACTCTCCTCCCGAGTCCGCGAGATATCGCAGTGACGGCCTCGTCAAGCTCACAGAGATAGAGCGCAAATGGATCTGCGCGCACGATGGGTGTTTCAAGTGCCGCAGAATCGGCGTCTACCACACATCGAGTGCTTGTCCAACCGGACATCCAAAAGCGAGCAAGTATCGGGGTATTACTTTGGCGGATGGTATTACGTTGGCGAAGAGCGCACCGAAGAGGTGAAGCATTGGATGTATCCCCGGTTCTAACTCGTTCGTTTTCTGCAACGGCTCTTGTACATTTGGAATGTAGACCAAACAAGTTTTGTACTTGACCGAGCTGGCTATACATTGTCGTCTTCTTGATAAGTACTGTGAACAGCCAACACAAGGGTAACATACTAATTACCTCGTTGGCTGCATGACGTGAACGGTGAAGCATCACGTCAGAAAGTCTGGCAGCTACTTCATGAATCATGAGGGAATACGACTAAGCACCAATACGCGTCTCAGGACAAGGACGATGAGTCAGATTCGGGTTATTCTTTGCATCTGAAGCAGGCAATTCGGTACCTTCCTCCTCTGATTCCCCTCTCTTCACCGCCGCGTCCTCCATGACCTTCGTTGGCAGCCATCACCGCAGTCAAGGAACCAAGATTTCAAGCTTCAAGGCGCAAGCCCGCCGACGTGCGGGGAACTGCGATGGCACCAAGACCATCGCTTGCCAGCAGGAATCTCGGGGTTGTACATGACGGAAGTCATAAGCAGTCGTCGGCGGAGTGTCAAATGGGCCAAGTATTATTGTCATATCCAGCAGTATCTACATGTAACGCAATAGCGAGGCCAAAACCCAATGTGTGAGTCAGCTTACCAGTTCCAGCAGCACTAAGTGCAAACAGCATCTGGTATGTTATCGAACGGAGCCTTCTCGTCGGCGTGGTGGTCCAAAAAAAGGGCTATCCCAAGTTGACGGAAGCGAAATCTTGCCAGAGGGAAGCAGCCATGTAAAAGGGAAAAGGTTGCTAGGAACTGTGGTCTGGACGATGCGCGTCGTGCGACGGCTGAGCGCTGAGGATCTCCCTTAAAGGGGAAAAACTCGTACGTCAATTTGGCTTGACGTGCGTCATTCGCGTAGCCGTCGTTCCTGCAACCACTAAGATAAACGGAAAGATTATATCACAAACCAGATATCAGTCATTGGACTTACACATTTTTTCAGGAAGCATATCCCGCTCCTGCTTCATAGTACGAGTAGTGGAGTGCCAGGGAGCAAGCCATTCGGGGAAATTGTCCAGAAGCCGGAGGTGCGCTTGGCTTGGTAAGAAATATCTGCGAGAGACCATAAACACGCGTTAAGACGCGCAGAGATAAATAGTTTGGCAAAGCGTGGTTCAAGGGGGCGGACAGTCGAACGTAAAAGGCTGGCAGTGGTCGATCTGAGGAAGTTGACCGGCTGTTGATGGCACCAGATCGGGAAGAACTTGCGCCACGTCGGGAATGCAGCGACAATGAGCCTGTGGAAACTGGTAGTACTGTGAAAGTCAGTCCAAAAGGGCAGTCTGAATGGAACGAATGATAACATTAGTACTAGTCTGGGCATTTGAGTCTAAATACTTTTCCATACAAGTATATCCTTGATAGCAATGAAGAAAACAATAAGTATGATAGATAGCAAATGAAAGCAGAAAGACGGGAATAAATGAACGATGTTCAGGTTACGCAGAAGGTGCGCTCCTAACATACTTTACCACAATGCTCTCCCATCAGGATCTTCGAGTGTCCAACCTTGCTTAGCGAGTACGTGACGACCGTACTGGCGGGCGTACTCGGAAGCCTGGTTCAGCCCCATCAGGTCCTTCACGTTCCTCCAACTCGTCAACCTGACGGCGCACAGGCTCACCGCGCTCATGCATTGCAAAACCCTAAACAGGCCACGAAGCTGACCGCCACCCAACGCAGCACCACACTTTGAAGCACAAACTCCGAGTAGAGTTACAGAATCGGGGAGGGTAAGGGAATCATTCGGGGGTTCCCAACACGCGTTTTGGGGCTGGCGGGTGGGAACGAGCATGAGTGTTCCAAGACATGGGCAATGTCGGCTGACTAGAGAGAAAATAGTCTGGACATGGTGGCCGTAGTAAAAGTCGCAACACAGTATGATTGTCGAGAGCTGGGTCCTGTACGCGACCAATGTCGGCCTCATTACATTCCTGTGGAAGTCCGCATCGTCCGTTACGTCCACGTCGTATACCCAGGTCTGCAAAGAGCATAACTTCGGAGTAGGCACGGAAAGATCTGCGTTGGCGACATCGGAAGGCGAAATGTGTAGGTGCAGGTAGGTCACGGAGGATGAGGCAGCAGCGGACGTGAGTGCGTCGACATCGGAGGCAACCCTTGGCTGTATAAAGGTCGTGGTGAAGGAATGGAGGCTCTTCAGGGAGTCGAAAATCACCGACCAAGACCCGTATGGCAGAATGGCGACATATTCCGTGGTTTCCAACACCTCGAGGCCCAAGCAGGACGTGCACAACACGTCAATCACATGGTTTTCAACAAAAGTGAGAGACGGTTTTGTTGTAGAGAGGCGTAGATAGCGCAGGTTGGGAAGGCAGCGTAAAATGCGTGCTATTAAAGTCTGATCGCGCGTTTCGTCCAATACGTTGCACGGGATAACCAAGGCCTTCGTGAACCATCCGAGCGGGACATCGTCGTCGCGCTCCCGCGATGTTTCGAGCGCGTGCAGAACAAATGGGACGTGGTCCCAGTCGGAGATGACGATAGAAGCATAGAGAAACCGCAAAGACGCGGCTTGCCATTCCTTGCAGACCAAAGTCAGTTGATAGCTGGTGCTCTGGCGCAAATTATTAGCCACTTTTTCAGAAAGGTGCATTTCCCAACCTACAAAATGTATGCGGCGAGGGTCGTCACTGTCAGAGGGAGGATTCAAGAGCCATTCGCGCCCATAGTACATGTCGAGCGAGACGAACGTTGCGAAGGCGAAAATAATCTGCCAGACTTCAAGTGGAAGATCAGGTAGCATAGTAACGTCCTTCTGTTTGCTCTTATGGGAGATTTTGGCAGATCTGCGCGAAACGTTAGAGTCCATAGTGCCCAATGCATTTCACGTACATTCGGATGTTGAGTTTACTGGAGGAGGTTCGAATCCTTTTGATTAGCTGCATGATATGCGCTAGTGCGTCAGGGTACTGACGGAAGGAAGATTTATTGATGTCGTTGATGGCCTTTTGTTCATGGCCGTTCTGGAAGTGCCTATAACTTCATCACGTGGACCTGAACGCCTCAATTTGACTTCTTGTTCTTCCCACCACGACGTTAAAGGCTTTTCAAAGGTGAGTTGTGTATCGCGCACTCTGTCCCGAAGCTGAATAGCCAAAAAAGCGATACAGTTCTGAGGTTATCCCCTATGGAGTGTCCCAATTGCCGCACAGCTCCGTACCAGTCTCGTCTTGACGAATACGAGTCCCTCTATTTCCATACCCATCACCTGCATAGACTTCGGACGACAAATGAGCGACCGTCAGAAGGCGAGGCTGACTACGTTAACACCGTGCTTCGATCAATTCAAGACGACACGGATAATGTGAACGCGCGACTGGTCGAGCTACAGTCTGCGGTTAACGCTCTTATGCAGGAAAGGAATAAACTGCTCGAGTACGCAAACAGCTTCAAGCTGCTTCTGTCCCCACTCCGCCGTCTTCCACCTGAGCTGCTCATGGAAATATTCCAGCACGCTTGCGCCTATGCATCGACATATCCCGGGAACCACAGCTTCCGTCGCACAAAAAGTCATTGGATTATACCTCACGTCTGCAGGGAATGGCGTCGCGTCGCATTATCCTGCCCGCCCCTATGGTCATCCATCCATGCAGCTCTGAGCCCACCATTCCCTCCTATTCCCGCTCTGGATGCGATGCTACATCGTTCAGGAACACGGCCTCTAACCGTGAGAATCGTCGACTACGATTATCATAAGCCTCATGTACGGGATTTTCTTGAACGCATCCGAGCACAATCATGGCGCTGGCGCGCTCTAGAGATAAATCTTCCCACCTTCGAAAAGACGCTTGAAGTTTTGCATGGCAGCTATCCTCTTCTCGATCGGTTGAATATCAAGCTTTCTTCATATTCTTTCACGCCAGCTCCTGAATTCCAACAATCCGGATTTTCACGGTATCCCAACTTGAAGACCGTCGTCCTCCAGAACCCATTAATCCTGGAGATGGATTTCCCGTGGGCGCAGCTGACGACGTTGATCATCACTGAATGCTTTAAGGGTGATTTGATGTCATATTCCAAAGCTTTTCGTCAATGTCCGTCTCTGCAGACACTCGAGGTCGATTTTTCCGCGCGACATCCGACCCTCGAGGATGCGTCGTTAGTAGTCCCCCTTTTCGCCCTCAAAAGTCTTAATACTGCTTCCAACACTGTCATCAATCTCCTCGAGGTGCCTCAATTAGAGGACGCGCGCCTTGGAGTTGATTACCCCAGCCTAAACCATGATGAGGGGGTCCTGAACGGTACTCTTCCTTCGTTTTATAAACTGGTACTGCGATCAAAGTGCGCATTAACCATCACCTCCATACATCTGAGGAAGATTCGGGTGACCGAGGATCTGCTTGCTCTCTCTTACTCACAACGAATCTCGCGACGCTCGAAATCCGCGCCAAAATGTCCCATTTCGACGGTACCCCCGACCCCGTGGTAGAGCAAGGCACGAGTGTCTACCCGGGTGCACCCGACACCCGCCCGGCAAATACTTGCTGCCGGAAAGCCGGACTTGCCACCTGGCATCACACCCGGGTACCCGCAAGTACTTGACCCGCGGGTCAAATACTTGGCAAGTACTTGCCTCTCAGATGGGCAAGTACTTGCCTGAGTATCTGCAAAATTTGAAGTAGCTTTCGTGCCCGCCGACGACCCCCGAGCAATTGCGCGGGGGCAATCGACGTGCACGATACACATGCGTGAAGCCCCGGTTACTTGCATGAGCAAGAACCGCAGCTAAACGGAGTGTAAGGGGTGGGGTATGAGAGAGGGCAAAGAGAATGGGTGGTGAGGTGTCGTGAAGTCGTTGAGATGGGGTGGTCCGTGTTCCCATCTTCGACATGTCCTGGCGTACACATTCTGTGCGGCAGCCGCACGGTGAATAAAGTCAAGAAATAAGCAGCAAAGGAAACACGCACGATTTGGGGGCGGGATGCGTCCGCGACGCCGTCCGCCCAGTCTCTACAACGAAGCGGGGGCTAATCCAGCCGCTCGACCTGCCCACGCCGTCCAGTAGTGTTGATGCCCCGTCCTGAGGGCTTCAGCGCCGTGTGTTGTCGCAAAAACGGCGCCGTCATGTAGGCGAGTGCCGTGAAACTGGCGCCGTCGTATAGACGAGTGCCGTGAGACTGGCGCCGTCGTGTAGACGAGCGCCGCTACGAGCGCGCGCTCGTTGTCCAATAGTAGGGCGGCCTCGTCCTGAGGGCTTACGCGGTCCAGAAGGGCACCGTCGCGAAGACAGACGCCAGAATGCGCCCCGGAACGTATCCGAGGGCGCAGCGGTCGGCGCGAAGCCAAACCGCACAGAAAAAGCAAAGAAAAACAAAGAAGAGAAGTCAGACAAGCCCCAGACCAAGTTCTGGGGCCGACGAGCACGACGTTGAAGTCGTGCTGTGATGGTAAGAGGAAGAGCGATGAGATCTGGGCTGATCGATCACTATCCGGAAACTGCCGGACTGCTCGGCGATCTCGGCGATCGTAGAAATTGGTCGGCAAGATCGATTCTCGACGATGTTGGGCTCGTTTGAGCCCAAATAAATTGGAGAAAATCAAGAAAAATATATAAGTGTGGCTAGGCAAGTATTAGGCAAGTACTTGTCCCAAGTACTTGCTGTCAGAAACCCATACTTGCCACCTGTGCACCACCCGGGTGTTGGCAAGTGCCGGGTGGGCAGGTGCCGGGTGCGGCACCACCCGGGTGACGTCAATACTTGCAGATATCTGCAAGTACTTACCACTCGTGCCTTGCTCTACGGGCCCGTGGGCAGGAAGACCATCATGACCCTTCTCTACATGCTCAAGGTCACAGCGTCAGACGAGCCCTTCCTTCCCAAACTGCGCCATCTTTCCATCAACCTCTCCAAGCATTTGGAGATGCGGTATTTCCCGTATCTTCAACACCAGGATACGCTTGTCAGCGCTCTCCAGTCACGCTGGAATGTCGAAAGCGGTTCGGGTGTGGAAAATTTGAGAACATTTAGGTTTGGGATATTTGCGCAGTGCTTGGATGACAAGAAATTATCATGTAGGGCCTTGTGTTGTGATTCACCGTTAAAGACTTGGTTGTACTCGAGTACGGAAAAGGTGCTGCAGGATTTGATGGATGACGGAATGAAGATTTCGATTCGTGTGTACAGTAAATTCGCCAGGCATGACGCGAAGCATGTCAGACTCAATTTTGGAAACATGTAGAGATTCAGAATAGCACAGGAGGAGGCAGCTTTCTTATAGGAATGGACATTTACATATGTGTCAAGACATTGTCTAGTGCTTGTGGAGTAGGGGTTACATGTTATAGTTAAGCTTACAATATAATTGTTGACATCAGGTGGCAAAAGATAGGTTTTGGCGTATGATAATTCTTCAAAGACTAAAAGTTCAGGAATCAGAGAGCTTGACAAAGTTATCAAGCAAAAGTATCATAACGGACTGTGATATTGGCCAACGTGGGGATCGAACCCAAGACCTTCGCGTTAACACCTTCTGTATTAGCACGACGCTCTAACCAGCTGAGCTAGTCGGCCGATGAGCGCAATTGATGTGCGCCACACTCGGATTTTATCGCTTGACTTATAAACCTTTCTTCAAATTGAAGTGCGCATAGCTATATAGAGGCTTATAACCAACAGCTACCGATTCACGGGCGTCGAGACTCGAGGCCAACTTCCTGGCTGAAAAGGTGAGTGACCGTGACGTCACGTGGACTTGTCTGCGTTCTTCCCACCACGACGTTACGGTGAGTCGCGTATCGCGCACTCTGTCCCGAAGCTGAACAGCCGAAAAAGCGATACAGTTCTGAGGTTGGCCCTATGGAGTGTCCAAATTGCCGCATAGCTGCCTACCGGTCTCGTCTTGACGAATACGAGTCCCTTTATTTCCATACCCATCACCTGCATAGACTTCGGACGACAAATGAGCCACCGTCAGAGGACGAGGCTGACTACGTTCACAACACCGTGCTTCGAGCAATTCAAGACGATACGGATAATGTGGACGCGCGGCTGGCCGAGCTACAGTCCGCGGCTAACGCTCTCGTACAGGAGAGGAATCAACTAGTTCGATACGCAAACAGCTTCAAGTCGCTTCTGTACCCAATCCGCCGTCTTCCACCTGAGCTGCTGATGGAAATATTCCAGCACGCTTGCGCCCATACCTCACGGGACGACAGCTTCTATCACACAAGCAGTCGTTGGGTTATACCTCACGTCTGCAGGGAATGGCGTCGCGTCGCATTATCCTGCCCGCCCCTTTGGTCATCCATTTATGCATTTCTTAGGCGAACTTCCCCTGCTATTCCCGCTCTGGATGCAATGCTCCATCGTTCAGGAACTCGCCCTTTGACCGTGAGACTCGTCACCCTCACATATTCTGACGATCTTAATGTACTGGATTTTTTCGGACGCATCCGGGCGCAATCATGGCGCTGGCGCTCTCTAGAGATAGATTACAGCGCCGCCCTTGCCACCGGCAGAGACAAGTTCGAAATTTTGCGCGGGAGCTATCCTGTTGTTGACCGACTAGATATCCACGTCGAAATATATCTTCCCTCTCCACTTTCTGAAATCCAGAAAACCGGGTTCTCACAGTATCCTAACTTGAGGACTTTGGTTCTCCGGCACACTTCAATCATGGAGCTGGACCTGCCGTGGCCGCAAATCACGACGTTGATCATTACCGAAGCGTTTCGGGGTGACTTGATGTCCTATATTCGTGCCCTTCGCCAGTGTCCGTCTCTGCAGATACTTCAGGTCGATTTCCTTGCTTATCCTCGGAATGACCTCCCTGCCATCGAGGACAAATCATTCATGGTACCTCTACTTGCTCTGAAACGTCTCGATCTCGCTGTTGGCCATGTCATCAATCATCTCATATTACCTCAACTAGAGGAAGTACGCCTTGGAGTTGACCATCCCGCGGACTATGACATTGGCACATTGAGCGGCACTATTGGCTCGCTTTATACCCTGGTATCGCGATCGAAGTGCGCTTTGACCATCACCTCCCTGCAACTGAGGAAGATACCGTTGTCGGAGGACCTCATCGCTGTTCTTTCACTTACGACAAATCTCACGACTCTTGATATCCGCGCGAAGATGTCCCATCCTGATGCTACCCACGACACTTTAGGCATGAAGACAATAATGTCTCTTCTCTCCCTGCTTCATGTCCAGTCTTCCGCAGACCTACCCTTCCTTCCAAACTATGCCATCTTTCCATCGGCCTCTCCAAGCATCTCGACAGGATATATTTCCCATTACCTTGAAAGGCAGGATGACCTTGTCAAGGCTCTCCAATCACGTTGGAATGTGGGAAGGTTTGCCGGTGTGGAAAGGTTGCAAACATTTAGGTTTGGGATATATGCACAGTTGTTGGATGATAAGGAGGCGGCGCCTGATGCCTCGCCGCTGAGTTGAGTCCGGAGATAGAACAGGCGCTACAGGTTTTGGTTAATGACGGGATGAAGATTTTCGATTCACGTTTACAGTAAATTTGCTAGATATGATGCGGATCATCTTAGAGTCAATTTCGGTAGCATATAGGCTCTTGTCATAGGGATTCAGAGTAGAATCAGTATCGAGTATGCTCATTGACATCTGTACAAAGTCAACCATGATTCAAACAGAGGGTTATGACATGTATCTATTGCCCAAATGAAAGCCTGGTATAGATTTGACCCTCCATTGCGTAACGCGTCTTAACGCATATGCGTAAGTCCATTCCCCCATCTCGCAGCTTCTCCAGTTCCTTCAGGTTCACAGTTGCACTCTTCATGCGAAATACACCATCATCGCCTACCACGTCGAGGTCGTCCAACTCATCCGCTTCAACATTCAGTCTGAAGGACTCCAGTCGTACAGCACCGTCGGACGAGGCTGAGACCTGTATTTCAACATCCTGTTCAACCCATCACCACGCATACAGATGTTGTGATCGCTCCCATTCGGATATCCAGAGACATCGATACTGAGGGTCCGCAATTTGGGCCAAATGATATCGGGGGAGTAAGACGGCGAAGGAGGAGGACCGTGTCAGAAGATGTGGATCAGCATCTTCTTCAAATATGTCTAAATCCCGACGTCGCGAAATGCTCCAAATTCGTAAGCGCTTGGGTAAATGTAGAGTCGAGCGGGTTGGATAAGGTGACACCAATGAGGCGTAGACAAGTAAGGGAGGCTGAGCACTTTGACCGCCCGATGAGAGACACCAATCCAGAATCAACCCTCAGCTCGTCATCCCACTTGCAGTTTGGAACACTGAGTTCCACGAGATTCGGCACAACGAGCGCATGAACTATGTCGCAGAAGTTGGTATCTAACGATCGCAGTGTGGGGATGTTGACGGGGGTGCCGCGGAATATATCGAAGTAACGCGTTCGAACCTTTAAGGCGCGTAGAACGCGACAGGATCGGATAACATCGAGGTACGAGCGTGCGTGGCCGTCGTCTTTTTCGCGAAAGGTCTCAATATGCAGATGAGTAATCTGCTGCCAGGGAAGGTCGGCGCAAAATGCATTTTTTAATGTAACACGTCGGAGGGATGGACAGAGCCCAAAGCCGAGTCTGTCGGAAGGGGAGATGAACCAGGGATGGCCCCCAACCAATGTGAGCTGCTCGAGAAGACGAGTCGGTTGTGAACCATGGATGGTATGCCATAACGCTGCAGGAGAGACGGTACTCTCTCCTGGCCAAGACAGACAAAGTCAGAGATGCACGAGTCCATTGTTCCGCTGCGGCGCAGATACGTCCAAACACCGCCCTCTGCCGTTTATCGCGCAATGCGCGCATCTCGGGCGTAGGTTCAATTACTCCGGTGGAAGATATGTCGAAGCTTATGTCGAGGGGATTTTGTCTGGCACGTGAGAGAGCTGTGAGGACTGGCGTCTAAAATCTCTTGTATGTATACGTGGTCCAACCAAAATGCGGAAATGCAGCTTGGCCCAGATGCTTGCGTCGGAAAGCATAACATCGCGCCAAACCCGACAGACTCTGGTCAGAGTCCAGTACGGGCTTTTCGGATCCAGGATGGCCCCCGCTTTCTCGTCTCCCTCATCATCATCATCATATGCGTCTCATCATCTTCGTCGTCTTCTTCTCAAATTCCTCATCGTCCGGCTCGTAAACATCACGGCATGCCGTCCGGAATATTTCGCAAAGGACCTCTGGAGGGAGACGGCGACGGGAAGATTTCAGCTGGGAACCTCTGGCTGCATCGTGTAGCACTTTGCGCTCCTCTTGGAACTGACGGAGTGCAGCATCGACGAGACATAGCTCAGCCGAGATACTGTCAACGATAGACGCAATGTTTTTCCCTTCAGCCTTCGTGGGTACTCCGTTGGTTGTGCGAAGGTGCTCAAAAGAGTCTTGAAATCGGTGTTGGTAATGCGACACTGACATGGCGTGACACGAATGGCGAAGAGCAGGCGACGCGTCTACAACTAGGATTAGACAATGACGCGTAAAAGCTAGTGAGCTCACGCACCAAGCTGGATTTTGCTCAGAGTCGAAAGGATTCCAAATGTGCTTTTGGTGTTGAACGCGTGAACAAGGGTTTCCCAACATGATGGTCGGACGTAAGAAATAGTGATGGCACGTGGTCGAGTGGCAGCAAGCCAAGTGGGTTCTCAACAATTCACGGATCCTCTGTACAGTAACGATTCCGTATTCAAAGTTGTGCTAGCATATCCGTCGAAAGTAATATGTTCAAGACATAGCTAGTGGCTGTGGACGGTGCCCGTCCATGTCCAAGTTGTAGGACAGCCAAAATTCCCGATGAAAGACATACTCCTGTAATATACGGATTCAGAAAAAGTTGTCCACTATCATGAGGTATCTACCTTCAAGGTGTTGTTGAGTTCCCGAAACACACAAGTCACCTGGAGACTGCGAAAACCACGCTATTGCCTGAAAAGCTTTCAGTCAAATCTGATGTGACCCGTATAGCGAGGTCCATCCCATCTTCAACTAGGGCCTTGAAGATAAAGCTTTCCGCTTCATTGAAGATACCTGCGACGGGCCTCCAACCATCCCGATATATGTGGTCTGGCATCAACTGCCGCGCGCGTACAAAAAAGTGGCATGTCTTAAGCCTTGCTAGGCCGCGAGTCTGGTCTCCTTTCCACCGGGTCTCGACTGTCGAAGCAAAACTACCGACAGGTCCAAAATACAGTAGCCTCTGCGAGTCACAGTGGTTATACACCCGAATGTGGAGAGACGAAAGGAGGGGAAGGAAAGTGACAGATTCGGCAGGCTTAAGGGATTTCACGATCGCTACTATTTGTTCCCGGTCGCTAACATCCGTTTCAGCATCATAATCCTATGGTTCTGATAGGTCGAGGAAGGCAAGACTATGTGTCTGGGAAAGGATAGAATGCAGGCTATGTTCGGTGAGACAGCAAGCGGCAGACTGCTAAGCGTGAGTCTGGTGAGGGCCTAAACAATTGGAACGAATGAGTAGTCGTTCAAATGAATACAGGGCAGCGCAATTAAGCGTGACAGGTTCCAGATGAAGGGAAGCCTCCCGCAGA